GCACCATGGATAGGGATTTTCTGGCCACATTCAAGCTTTACTTTACAAAGATATGAAGAATATGAATCTGTCGGTAAAAAAGCAGTACCCAAGCTCACTCTGCTTATAAGGCACACTCGATCGCCGACCCGTCGCCGGAAAAATTGTGATATGCGACAGAGGGATTAGTCCCCAGGTTCAGAAAGGGTAAAATGATGAGGAAAAATTTATCTTTTTACATCTATTTTAACTTTCTTTCCCTGACACAACAATGGGTATGTTGGCATCGCCGGCCTTATGAACGTCGACGTAAATGGAGTCGAGGAGCCCATTACAAACTAGAAGAAATCGCACTGTAAAGGCAAGAAATCAAACAAAACTGCAAGAAAAGTTTAAGAACTAAAATACAAGTTAAGATCATAAAATCGACTCTTTTCTCCGGCCGTTGATCTTCTCTCTTTGAACTACCGACCCACCGTCCGCCGCCGCCCCAAAACCCAGCAGCAACAGAGAGTCAACCTGAAGACAGGTTTCGATATCACTCTCGATTTCGGCATAGAGGCGAGAAAATGCGTCATCGCCGGAGATATTGGAGTCCTTTTAATTCTCGGCGTCGTACTTCGTACATCTTACAGACCGCGTCAATGTAAAATAGAATGCGCATATTAGGAAAATACTGTGGCCGCAATTCATTAAATTGAAAGAAAGTAAATGAATTGAGCAGTGGTAATAAGAGAACTCACGAATAGTGGAGAGGATTGGAAATTCAGAAGTGGGATGAAAATGTTAAGCGGTGGCTGAAATGAAAATGCTAAATCCAGATGGAAATCGAATTTCGTCGCCAGTAGTGAAAGGAAGAAGAAAGTGAAAATGACCGATTTACCCTTCTGATTTAATAATTAAAAATGATTTAAATTTTTTCGGCGATATTTGGTCGACGATTTGACCGGCAGGATCAAATGTGTTAAAAATTATATAGTTATGGGATTAAATTGATAGTTTTGAAAGTCAAATACTCAAATTAACAACACCACAATAGTCACAGAACCAAAAGTATAATTTTCTCCATTTAAATTATAATATAAATCACCGACTTTTCGTTAATATAAAGAATGAAATGGTGTTCAGTCCCATGATATAATTAATTTTGGGGGTGTTTGGTTCACACAAGAGAATCATAATTGAAATGAGAATTAAATACTTGGTATTGGTAATGAGTTTTGGTGAAAGTATTTTGCATGTTTAGTAGTAAGGTGAAATTTGAATGATTATCAACAGGGGCGGATACAGTATGGGGGCAGCTCCCCCCACTCCCCCACCGCACCCCCTTATATATATATATATATATAGCATTAACTATTATATAAAATTTATATTTATGTTTAACTAACTAATAGTTAGAGTAGTTTAGTTGGTTGAATTTCAAATTTAATTTTTAAAAAAGTGTATGGTCATAGGTTCGAATCTTATTAAATTAAAAACACTTTTCCTTGTCTTCACTTATTTATTTTATATCTTTCATTCCTTCCCAAGATAAATATTTTTTAGCCTACTTTTATGAATCATTTAATTAACAAATTAAATGTTCTTTTAGTCTACTTTTTATGAATCATTTAATTAATGTAGTATACAAGTTTATATTATACTTCATTTTATTCAAATTATTTTATCTAATTGATTATGTTTCATATTTTGTCATAAATATTTTTACATTTTCACCTCACTCAAGTATATTTTTTGCTCCAACTCTAACTATCGTTTAATCTATCAAAAATATTCTAATATAATAACATCCAAAACACCAATATAAAACAAAAAGAAAAAATCAAAACAAAAATCTAAAAAGACTAATCCAAACTTAAAAATAAAATTATCAATAAGATGGAATGATACTGATTTTTAATTAAGGAATGAGGTTTTTATTTGAAGGGATAATCAAATCCCGTAGTTGTGTTTTGAAAAGTTGTAAACCAAACACTAAGTATAATTTTAATTCCATTCTTGATGTATAAACTCATGAACCAAACACACCCTTAATACGTACGGAGTTGATGATATAAATTTGTTCAGTCATAACTATTTTAACTAAAGAACATGTCTATACAAATGTCAATCATTATTTCATAGGCCATATATAGTCCACTTACATTTTTGTAAACCATAAATAAAATGTATATTTTTAATATACTAAACGTACATTATTTGTATACATAAAGTACATTATTTAAAAATACATAATTTTTTATATATTATCAAATAATGTACATTCAATACATAAATAATGTATTTTTAATATATTTAAAATGTATATTACGTTCATAGTTCACACAACTATGTGAATCATCGTCCACAAAATAATTTGCTTACAAATGTGAAACCAATGGTGACTGGTGAGATTTTGAAGTCAGCCTTCTAATTAGCTGGCATGCAAATGGTAGTGTTACGCGGGGTTGAAGCCTCCAATAGTGACCGAATATTGCCTTTCCCCATGCATGCATGCATTGGGCTTATTATATACGGAGTATTATTATAGTTTATACACTTAAAAAATATATTGAACTTTGGATTTATTATATTTTATACACTTGCCAAGCACCTTGTGCTCAGATGACACTTAGATTAAACTCTCATATGGGAGGTTGTGAGTTCAAGCCTCAATAAAAGTGTTATTATCACTTTGTGCTTTAGTAGGTTGAAAAAGTAGTTATGAACAAATACTACATTTTTTTTTGTCGTCTAACATTTTGTTCTCTTTTATTTTTATTTTTATATTTTTCTATTCTCAATCCTTTGTCGCCTTCAAAAACTTAACAAAAAAACCCCACTCTTGGGGTTGCTTTAATTTTTTTTTTTTTTTGAAATACTCATAATTATTTACAATGTATTATATGTTGAGCTATACTTTCTCAAACATTTTTTAGCTCAAAGAATCTAATTTCCCACCATTGAAGTTCGATTCTATGACTATGCACCCATTTAGATTGATAAATGGATTGCCCTCATGCTACATGGTAGTTGGCTGGTTACTTTAATTAACCCCACCAAAGCAAACAAAAAAAAAAAAAAAAAAACAAAAACAAAAAAAAAAAAAAAAAAAAAAAAAAAACAAAAAAACAAAAAAACAAAAAAACAAAAAACAAAACAAAACAAAACAAAACAAACAAACAAAAAAAAAAACAAAACAAAACAAAAAAACAAAAAAAAAAAAAACAAAAAACAAAAAAAAAAGTAGACTAATTTTAATCATTTCTTTTTCTTTCTCAAATAGTATTAATTACAGGCTACAATATTTTTTTGAAAGTTACTACAGGCTACAATATCATTTCCTTAATTCCTTTAAAACAATGGAAATACCATACTCAAAATGCGAAATTTCTGTAAAACATAGATATCAGTGCATACAAGTACGTTCATGCATGCTATGATATACCAACTTCCATTATAAAACTCATTTTCAACTTTTGTTAATAATGTCAAAAGCAGACTGATCATAACCGTACCAAGTCAGCCACGAACTCTTTTGACTATCCCATTTGTATACTTTTATTAATATTATTATTTCTTTCAAAAAAAAAAAATATTATTATTTTTTTTTCCTTCCAGATTTTTTCTTGTAATCTTATCCTCCTGTATAGGGATGACAATGGGTTGGGTAGATTGGGGAGGGTTACATCCATCACCCGATACACCTTATATTTTCTCCACTCACCCCCACCTCCAACCTGTATTGGGTGGACTTTTTCAAAATCTACCCCCACCCCACAGGGTGCGGGTACCCACCACTTATCATCTTATTATTTTTTTTAAAAAATAATATTTAAATTACTTACACATAATAAAATAATAAAATTTATTAGTGATACTAAAACATAAAATAATAGAAATGTTTAAATCTAATAACTAAATTGTTAATTTTAAAAAATAAACTTAGTAGTTTAGATATAAAAATAATAAAAAGATACACGAAGTTACATAAACTTTTATAAATAACTACATAGTATTATATATATATATATATATATATATATATATATATATATATATATATATATATATATATATATATATATACACACACACATGGTGGGTCGGGTGTGGTTCTAGACAGATTTTGTACATAGAACCCGAATCCAACCCGACCTACCGCATGTTTATTTTTTTTAAGACCCACACCCGACCCACCACCCACCATCACCTAAAAAAAAATCCCATGCTCGCGGGGCTGGATATCTGCAGAGTTGATGGAAATTGCCATCCCTACTCATGTACCCATTATAGTGGACTAATCTCATTATGAGTTAAAAAGAAATTTAATTAACAATCTAATATGAAGGAAAATTGTAATTTATGTCCCTAAAAATATGGCAATTATCAATATTACTCATGAATTATTAATGGTGTAAATATTGCCCCTCAATTTTCAAAACGTGACATATATTATTGCATTTCCCTAATAGGAAGAATGAGAAACATTATTCTTGGCAGATGGAGAACAAACGAAGAAAAAAAAATTAAGAAAAAAAGTAGTATTCGAACAAGGAAAACGGTGAGTAATCACATTTACACCACTAATTATTCAGGGGAGGAGCAATATATTATATATCACGCTTTGAAAATTGAGGAGCAATATTTACAACACTAATAATTCAAGGATGAGTGGATGACATTGAAAACTGACATATTTGTGAGCAGAATAAATTAAAATTTACCCTAAAATAATGTTATATATATCTAGAAAAAGAAAATTGAAGGAATATTTTTAAAGTATTATTCCATTTTATTATATCGTACAAACTTCATCACGGACTAACAGCGGCAGGAAAGTAATCATAAGCAAGTTGCCCAGACTAAGTCACTCACGAATATTCCTCATTTTCTTAAAGTGAACCGCCCAGTTATTACATTATTAGCTGGATTACATAACCTTAACGCGTCGTCGCAGACAATAGCGACCATCTTCTTCGCTGCAACAACTATAAATTCACTTCCATCTTCCCATTCTCCATCATCAAACCAAACCATCCAACCTAACCTTCACTTTATTTTTCTGAGCTATAAACCATTCATTTTCCTTCTGCAACTAAACTCCATCTACACCTACCTACTATACCTAGCTAGTTTGCTATAATTAATATATGGCTTCTCATACTACAACGGCATGCATTGCCGCCTTATCATGTTTGCTTCTTCTTCTCTCTTCCTCACAATGCGAAGGGCAGCTGTCCCCTACATTTTATGACAAGACATGCCCTAATGCTCTCAACATCATTCGCACTGCCGTAAGGCAAGCAGTGTCTCGGGAGCGCCGCATGGCTGCTTCCTTGGTTCGTCTCCATTTCCACGACTGCTTTGTCCAGGGTTGCGACGCTTCCATCTTGCTGGACGAGTCACCAACCATCGAGAGCGAAAAGACGGCATTGCCCAACCTTGGCTCTGCCAGGGGTTACGACGTGATAGAGGCTGCAAAGCGTGAGCTGGAGAAATATTGTCCCGATATTGTGTCTTGTGCTGATGTATTGTCGGTGGCTGCACGTGATGCGTCTGGTGCTGTGGGAGGTCCATCATGGATAGTGAAGTTGGGAAGAAGAGATTCCACCACGGCTAGCCATACCCTAGCTGAAACCGATCTTCCTGGCCCTTTCGACAATCTGGATAAACTCATATCCAGCTTCGCTAGCAAAGGCCTTAATACAAGAGACATGGTTGCCTTGTCGGGTGCACATACTCTCGGACAAGCTCAATGTTTTCTATTTCGCGATAGAATTTATGGCAATGGTACTGACATTGATGCCGGTTTTGCTAGCACTAGAAGACGCCAATGTCCAAAAGACACTGGAAATGGAAATTTGGCAGCACTTGATTTAGTGACCCCAAACTCCTTCGATAACAACTACTACAAGAACCTATTGCAAAAGAAAGGTTTGCTTCAATCGGATCAAGTTCTTTTCAGCGGTGGAGCAACAGACAACATTGTTTCAGAGTACGCTAGCAGCCCACGGGCATTTCAGGCAGATTTTGCATCAGCAATGATCAAAATGTCTGAAATTCAACCTCTCACAGGTCAAAATGGAATCATTAGGAAGGTGTGTGGTGCATTGAACTAGCTTCGGCGTGCTACATACTTTCTCTTCCTCACTGTTATTTTTCTAGAGTATTTAATTAATAATTTAGTTTTCCACTCTCATCAATTTCATTGTATTTTTTTCTTCATAACCATTGATTTGTTATTTAGAAAAATGTAATAATATGATTTGTTGTATTCTATTAGACCCTACAAAGTGTGATTATAATAAACTTTTCATTATATATCTGTCAGGCTTCGAACACATCATTTGAACTATAAGTTGAAATCTAAGATTAACATTATATTGCTCACTATTTATTAATTTATAATTTTGTATTCATATTCATTCTATCATTATTTACACTTTAGGAAATTTGAAATTGAAATGGTATTGTTTACATTTACAATACCATTTAGAGGAAAATTAAACAATGTAAAATGTCGCAGTCAAAATGCGAAATTTCGATGAAACTTATATTTGGGTTACAATTATTGAATGACAAGGACAGTAGTGCATGCCATGCACATGCCTTGGCTACCGACAATTACATAATAAAATTCAATCTCAAAATTTTATATAATATAATATGGCACATCCATTTGACTGATATATCCATTGTTAAGTCAGCCACGAAATCTTTTGACTTTTCCCATTATATATATATATATATATATATATATATATATATATATATATATATATATATATATATATATATATATATATATATATTTTTTTTTTTTTTTTTTTTTTTTTTTTTTGAGTTTAATTTTCTTGGTTTTTAGTTAGACTTTATAAAAATGCCAGATAAATGTCAAATAAAATTTAAAGTACGTAATTAAGTTTCATTTAGTTGGCACAAACAGAAATTGTAATATGCACAGTGAAATTATAGAAATGCAAAATTAGGTATTATGCGCCCTAAAAGTTTATGTGTATTATGTTAAGATTTATGTGTATTACGTTAAGAGTTCATGTATATTATGTTAAGAGTTTATGTGTATTATATTAAGATTTTATGTGTATTATGTATTATGTTAAGACTGTGTATTATGTTAAGAGTTTATGTGTATTCTACTATATAATTATGTACATACAAAACATGAAATTTTTAAGGTGCACAATGCATTGTGAACCCTATTGCACGATATAACAATTGTTATCTTGTGGGGGCGAGCACTTAGGTTCCAAACCCTGTTGGATATATATTGAGATTTGACATCCGTCATTTAATTTTGTCAGTATTTTAATCTTTTTTCAATTTAGTCCCTTAATTATTAAAAGGTCATAATTGTTAATTAGTTGACCTCATACTGTTGGTATATTGTCAAAGAATAGGTATTAGGGAAAATTGAATCTCACATTTTGATCTATAAAAATTTAACATTTGCTGCTATCAAGTAAAGTATTCCAAGCACAAGCTTTTTTAGATTAAAAAAAAAAACACCTTTTCTAAAAATGAATTTATGCGGATAGACATCATATGTTAGGCTCTTATATAATACAATATAGATAATTTCAACTCAGAAAGATGGATGTTGTTAAGTGTTGAACTTTGAGAATAAATCTAGATAGATTATTCTTCTTTAGCTTAGAATATATACTAGCTAAAGCTTTAATTTAAGAAAGTATTTTGATCACAAAGACCATGTTGTTTGTTCATGTTTTCACAAGACTCAAAACTGTGCTACTTATCATCTATCTACTCAGGGTAGAGATTTAAAATATTTCAAAACAAATGTTGAAAGAATCCTAGAAAACTAGATGGATCTTCTATTGAGCTTGAAGTCTCTAAGAAAACTTATGATGGAAATTATATTGTAGCTTTTCATAATGCTAAATATAAGTTCTTATGCATGTGTCACGTTGTTATATCATATATATATACTATAATTCTTCAAATATATCAAATTCTTCCTTTCAACTAGAAAAGTTCGAATACACTTTTGATTCCATCCAAATGAATGTAGTCCTCGCTCAAAATTATACATAAAAAAGGCATGGGTACTTAAAATGTCAATTTATTCTATTTTTCCAACACTACAAACTTTTTCTTTATCAAATTCGTAAGTTTAAGACTATCGTTGTGCACTTAGTGTGGTAATTTTCAGTCTATCAGTCAATTTTTAGCCTATCAGTCAATTTTAGCTTATTATTTGACCACTATTAGCTGTTTGACTTAATTGGTTAAACAATCAATATGAGTGTTTGATTAATTAGCTTTCTGTAACAACTTATTTTTTCAAAGTGCTAAAATTCAAAAATCTGCTCAAAGTAGCTTTTTCGATAAGTTTTTTGAAAAAAGTTATTTTGTATGTAATAAGCTAACAACTAATAGCTAATTACCAATTAAACACTTTTCTACAATCAAGTAATAATATCAACTAATCAAACCCACTAACCCAATTAGCTAATAGTTATTAACCAAACACCCCCAAAGTCTATTAACCCCCTGGGGCCTGCTTTTTAGACTTTTACTTGCAACATGCCAACATTCTGTTAACTTGATTCTTTTGAGCCAAGCACCTTGTGCTTAGATGACGTGTAGTGACATTTCCCATGTGGGAGATCATGAGATCGAGCCTCAGTGGAGGCGTTGTTGACTCTGTGTGCTTCGTTAGATTGAGAAAGTATGTTTGAACAGATACTACAATGTAATAGAGTCAGTCGCATTCAAAAAAAAAAGTTTGATTATTTTGAATTTTAGAGCCTTTTGGCAAAGAATATCTTCTATTAACATAGAAATTAAATAATAGAGTTAATGTCATCTGAGGTCCTCCGAGTATAGTGGTTTTATCACGTTTAGTCCTAAACTTCCAAATTGACCATCCGTGGTCCTTCGACTTTCAAATTTAACCATTCGTGGTCCAAGTTAACCACCCATGATCCTTCAACTATTAAATTTTAACCAACCATGGTCCTTTCAAGAGGACTATGACTGGTTAAATTTTCAAAGTTAAAGGACCATGAGTGGTTAACTTTGACCACAAATGGTTAAATTTGAAAGTCGGAAGACCACATATGGTCAATTTGAAAGTTTAACTAAACATGGCAAAACTAATATACCTGGAGGATCCCATGTGACAATAACTCTTAAATAATACATCACATTTAGAAATTCCCTACACTAGCTATTATAAATTTTATTATATTATATTAGGATAAGTTCTATATAATGTACCTGTACTAATACACTCCAAAACTCTTTCTGATTTGCATGTTTCTTCCTGCCGTACTGTTCATTCACTTTAGTTTGTTCCGATTCTCTTAAAACTTCTGCTTGATGTGCAAGTAAATTCTGTAATCAAAATAAACATTTCTGATTCTTATTTACTCAATCACAATAATTATATACAAATTCATATCTAACAACCGCAACAAATTAAGAATGACTATACCAATCCAAAGTTATCGACAACCGTACAAGTAGAATCACCCGGTAGTTCATCCAAACGAATCGAAGTTGAACGATATTCGGTCTCAACAATTTGAAGGAACGGTATACATGCATTTTGTCCATCCTCCCATGTTGAACGCGTTTCTTCCGCCCTGCTCTGTTCTCCATAATACATTGTTGTGTTTGTCTTTGGATTTTCGTCATCAACACTCTGCCGTTCACCACTTTCAACAACAACAGCCTTTTGCTTTAGTCTTTCCAATAGTCTTATGGCCCGTTTGGTTCACGGAATAGGCCGAGAATGGCATAGCATTTCCGGTAATAGACCTATTCCGTTGTTTGGTAACCATTTCTATTACCAGGAATAATATTCCTGGTAATAGCCTATTACCTCAAATAAGGTAATAGCTATTACTAGGGCCCCCTGGTATTAGCCTATTACTGAACGCTCAGGAATAGATTTTAGAATATATTTCCTTTTTTACCCCTTCTTTAACCTAATTTTTTTATCATATATATATATCCTATTTCATCGCCGCCGCCGCCGCCACCACCATCACCGCCGCCGCCACCACCACCATCGTCCCGCCGCCACCACCACCATCACCGTCGCTGCCGCCGCCACCACCACCACCATCTCCGCCGCCGCCACCACCACCATCACCGTCGCTGCCGCCGCCACCACCACCACCATCTCCGCCGCCGCCACCACCACCACCATCGCCACAACCGTCACCGCCCCCACCACCACCGCCGCCACCACTGCCATCGCCGCCACCACCAATACCACCACCGCCACCGCCACCACCTCCACCACCACCGCCACCACCATCGCCGCCGCCGCCACCACCACCACCACCGCCACCAGAACCACCACCCAGCAGCACCACCGCCACCGCCACCACCACCGCCACAACCGTCGCTGCCCCCACCAGCACTGCCACAACCGTCACCGTTAACACCACCACCGTCGCCCCCACCACTGCCACCGCCACCACCACCACTACCACCCCAGCACCACCACCACCACCACCGCCACCACCACCGTCACCATCGCCACCATCACATATTTTTATAAGGGTATTTATGTCTTTTAAAACATATTTCATTTCTATTCCTTAAATCAACCAAACACTGTAATATAATTCCTAAAGTCTATTCCTTCCGCGAACCAAACAATAGAATACAATTCCTATTCTATTCATTGCCTATTCCATTCCTTATGGAATAGCATTCCTATTACCTCAAAATTCATTCTGTGAACCAAACGTGCTGTTAAAGCATTACAAGCACGGCGTCTCTTTTGAATAACTGATGTCCTCTGCTTTTCTGCCCTAAAAAGGAATTGCGATCTGCTCAATTTGAAATCTTTTTCGCCAATGTCAATATTCCGACAGTCTAACATATAAGAAATCATAATCACAAAACTGCATACTTTTGCATGCTTTGGTCCTTGAACATTCCGAATGATTTCGACCATCCTATTAAAAATATGCAAGGCCCAATTTGCTCTTTTTTTCTCAGAATCACTTCCATGGCTCTTACTTTCTTATAAGTTAATCCGTCCACATTTCCCGTTCTCCCTTCAATGCAAAAGAGTCACTATCTCAAATAAGCCCTGCATGTCTAACATCAAAATTTTTATCTTTGCTTGTATGTTGTATGGATAACCTGGTCAAGCTATTTTCGACCACAGCCAATTACCATCTACCGGATGACTATCTAAATCCGCGTATCCTTTACACGGTAAATCGATCTGACACAAGTCTGCCGGTGTCACAGTCACCATATTCTCATTCACAACCGCTTTAATCTTATCTCCAATTGTGCTTGCCGTTTCATAAAT